ACATGATTCATGATACTTGGTAACTTGAGACCTCTGCGAGGGTGAGTTAAAGCGTCCGTCATATGATGGACGAAAGCTCAGCCAGTTTTCACTAAAAACGAGAGAGAATGCCTCGTAAATCGCGTCAAGCTGAACGGAGTATTAAATTCCAACAGCTGTAGTACAGTGGTAACAAACCATAGTATTCTGGTGAAATTGACCTACGAATTTTTTCATCACACACTTTAATACGAAATTAAAGTCTTCATAACAATAGGAAAAGGCTCGGCACGTTATCGCATAAAACGAAGGCAAGGTAGGCCAAAACTTACAAGTATATTCAAAATCAAAGCAACATAGAGAATCCGCTATTATAGTTTAGTTAAAAAGATATATAAAGACTTAAATATTGCACCCTATCCTGATGTAAAAAATGTTTGCATAAAACCAAATAGGCCAGTATTATAGATAAAAGATGTAATAATACACGCGCTAATGAATATGCAATTCAAAAAGTATGAAAAATAAGGTACTTTCTAATATAGCTGAACAAGGTAACCATATGGAAACCAGAAGCAATTAGATGCAAAACTCAATTACCACTAGTAATCTAAAATGAAATGGATCAAAATGGATAAGGTAAGAAATCAGGGATCAATAGATGGATAGAAGTAGAATAGGTTGATTAAAATATTAAATGGCTAGATAAATTAAGTTTCTCAGCTAATAGGAAGACAATGAGAGAGAAAGGGAAACTGGATTTTGAAGAATCCCATAATAAATTCGGATTTAGTACACCACATGTCGTTATAAAAGATGGATGTACTGGATTTTTAAATTGGCCTCACTGAAATATAGAGAATTACTCGATCTATACCAAAAAGTCAACTACCGATCGTCTTCTTCAGAGAGACTAATTTACGAATCCCGTCCATCCACCTTTTTAGGCGAAATGAAAACAGAAATGAGATAGTGTTTACCAGGGCAAAGCCATCGTTCATAAAGTTGAATCTTGAAAGTCGCAAGCTAAGATCCAGGTTTGCTGAAAATTCACTTTTCTTTTCTTCATTTGGCTCTTGGAAATCTTTGATCATACGGCGCAAGCTAGTTTCTTCAACGAGATAGTGAACACGATAAAAACCAGTTGAATCGGCATTAAAATTAAGTCTGAAGGGAGCATCCCCTTTTTGGGCCTCATTGTCAACACAAGATAGTGATGAACTAACTGGGTTCCAGGGAATAGTGACGACTTCAGTGGCAGAAGTAAGCAGATGGCGAAAGCGACCGATGACACCATTGGATGAAGTAATAGTTAAATTCATTGGAATTGACCAGATGTGTTCTGATGAACCTGAAAAAAAGTCGTTCGACATTGAAACAAATATACCAAATCTCCATACTAAAGGTCTGCTCATTGGCTGGCAAATGTACAAATTATTAGGTGAAGATCCTGTTGCGATAGTTTTTAGTCTAAGAAGCAGATCAAGCACCTGCATTTTAAAGAGTAAATGATGGCATCATTTTGCGTTTGTTTTCGATGAAGAAGCAACTAAATAAGACTTTTAAAATCATCATAAAAGTATTTTCTAATGCTAAGTAGATCGGTTCTACTTTAACTCACAAGGTATATTCAATTGTTAGATATTAGTGGATTTTATGGGTTATAGGGCCCCATAATTACAGATAAATCAAATATTACCTGGATTCTTGGATATCTGCCTTTTTTCAGAAGATAAAATAGATGACAGCATTTAAATCTAAAAGCTTAAAGTGAAAGCTTCCTTAATGATCTTCATCCGTAAATCCAAGACAATTGTTTATCGCTTAAATAAGAACCCTAAGTCGGTTTAGGTGATGAAGGCTGTCAGTGAATTTTCCCACAAATAGACTGGAAGGCCTTATGCCATTAAATTTTACTTAACTTTGTTTTCCAAATTTAACTGCAATTTCGACTTCGCTCTTATTTAAAATCTAATGAGTCTCAAAATCATAATAAAAGCCAATACAAGTAATATTAGATGCATTCACTTTATTTTGCTGAACTTTACCACAAATGGTACGCGAGGGCTTCATATTCTCATTAAATTTCACAAGGCATTGCTTCCTATAAGAGAATCTCATACAGCGTGGACGG